GTTCCCGCGACGCCTCGGCCAGTCGCCGAGGGGCAGGCGCGCTGCCGGCGGCTGCTGCGAGCTCCGGAGGGCGGGCTCGGCCGCTGCGGTCAGGGTCCTCGCGCGCGGGGACGGGCGCGAAGCTGTCGCGGCGCGCGTGTGAGTATAAGGGGGACTGGGCTCGGGTTCTGGCGCTGCAGGCCGATCTGAGGAGCGACCTGATGGCTTCCGTTGCGAGATCGTTTCTCCGTCGGTCAGACTCCCCGCGAGCCGCGAGAGGCCGCGCTTCACTTGCTTCCGACGTGCGCCTCCGCGGCCGGGACGGCGTCCGGCGTGGCGAGGGCCGCGCCTTGTCCTGGCCGGTGGGGCACGTGCGCCGCGCCCGGACGCCGCCAGCTCCCGGGAGCCCGTCGCACGGCCCTGCCGCGGCTCGCGGGAAAGCGGGATGGGCCGGGCGAGGCGGGGGCGCGGCCGGCTCCGTGCGCGCGCCGGGCTCCGGCTCTCCGGGCTGGGCTGCGCCGGCTGCACAGCCTCGCAGGGCCGTGAGGGCGGGAGCGGCCGGGGTATAAATCCGGTCAGCCGGCCGTGGTCGGCGCTGGGGCCGGGCCTGGAGGCTGTGGAGTCCCTCATCAGTGGGAGGAGCCCTGGGAGAAGCCTTCCGGCAGGGACTTACTCGTCGGGGCGCCGGGGTGGCGCAGCGGGCTGCGCCTCTGCCTTCAGCCCGGGTCATGGCCCCGGGGTCCTGGGATCGAGCCCCGCGTCGGGCTCTCAGGGCCCTCAGCAGGGGTCTGCTTCGCCCCCGCCTGCTGCTCCGCTTACTTGTGATCTGTCAGTTAAATAAATGAATAGTCTTTTAAAAACTATTTTGTGTAAACGCACTGTAAGAGCAGTAAGTCTCTCGATTTATCGTTTTGTGAGTAGATTGCGGAAGTTTGGAGACAGCAGCGGACGGCCCGAGAAGCCATCGTGGGCGCGCGGCGTCAGAGGCCTGCGTGTTTCTCTGCGCTCGTGGGGGCGGGGCCCGGGGCTCCTTAGACTGGGAGGTGGGGGCCACGTGTGCTGCGGGCGAGGCGAGCGCGGGGGACGCGGACGCTCTCCCCGGAGTGCGGAGCTGCCGTGCAGTGCTGCGGGAGGGCCTGCGGACGGACGGGCGCCGGCGCGGGCCGCGGCTGCCCGGGGCGTCCTCTGCGCCGCCCCCAGGGAGCGCGCGCCCGCTTCTGCCGCTCCGGGAGGCGGCTGGTCCTCTGCGGCCCGGTGCGGGACTCCCGAGGTGACTGCGGGACGGACTCCGTGAGCGCAGGGAGCGCCATCTGACTTCGTACTCCGTGCGGCGAAGAGGAAGCAGCGGGGAATTCGGCTCCCGGTTTGAAGCCCGAGTGCGTCCGCCGGATCGACACTCGCCAGGAGGCCCGAGTTGGCCGGGAGGGAATCCACCGTGATCAGCCCCTGATAAAAGGATTGAATGTTTTCTTAAATAGCTGAAATGGAGCTTCTTTTTGTTTAATATTCACATTGGGCAGTTAAGGGAATATATGCTAACGGGTTACATGTTGCGTCTTTGTTGACTTACAAGTTGACGGGGGCTGGTGGTTTTCTCGCCCGCTGGAAAGACAGGGAAGTCGCACAGGCTGGTGCTGGCTGTGGCAGCGTGGGTGCGGGAAGAGCGGAGCCATCCAGAGACCGGCCCCTGGAGGACATGCGGATTTGCGAAGCCGTCCTTATTTTTTATGTTGTTACTGGAATTAAATATAAAATAAAAAACAAAGTTACACAGGGATGTTCACTTTGAAAGGATTCATTAAGCTGTACAGTATATAGTTTTCTGTATGTAAGATCTATTCAATACAATATTTTTAAATTACAGTGTATAGGGACGCCTGGGTGGCTCAGAGGGTTAAGCCTCTGCCTTGGGCTCAAGTCATGGTCTCAGGGTCCTGGAATCGAGCCCCAGGTCCTGCTCTCTGCTCAGCAGGGAGCCTGCTTCCTCCTCTCTCTCTCTCTCTGCCTGCCTCTCTGCCTACTTGTGGTCTCTCTCTCTCTGTCAAATAAATAAATAAAATCTCTTAAAAAAATTACAGTGTATATTAGCATATATGGAAGATATTCCTGAATTATTACAGCCGTTTAGTGTTGCCATAAACAACACAACAGGAGCATTTGAATGTCTCCTTGTGATCTTTTCATTGTTACTATAAGCCACTGGCATAGGGACGAGAGCCCAAAGACTGTTTGTTTGTTTAAGTTGTAAAATTATGAAATTAATGTAAATTGAAAGAGTTGGTGAATGGGCATAGCTTTTCTTTTGTCAGAAATACCACTTCTAACAAGTAAAAGTTCTGGAGGTTTCTAAAAATATCTTCTGTTATGGTGATTAGAAAATGTAGTAGGTGGAAATTAGCAACCCATTATTAGAGTTAAAACAAAGTTCAAGCATTTTGATGGTTCTGCCTGGCGTTGGTTTTTTTTTTGTTTTTTTTTTGTTTTTTTGGTAGAATAAACAAATTTCTCGTCAAATGGAACTCTCTGTATTTGGCAGTTTGCAGTGTCTGGTCTTGAAAAGGGGTGGGGGGTTCCAGTGGAGATTGTTGAACAAATGCTGATTGCATTTTTCAAGAACGTGCTTGAACATCTGAAGATATGAGGACGCCTGGAGTCAGCAGAACGGGGGTCACCAAAGACCGGAAGGTGAAAGAGTTCTGAGAGTACAGATGAACCTGGAAGCGGAGAGTGGTGGTCTGGGGACGGACTGGCGCCCCCACGGTTAGCGCGGAAGGGGCTGGAGGAAGAGAAGCGCGGCTGGGACTGCAGCTCTGCCCCCTCGTGGTTCTGTGCCCCATGCGTGTCCCTTCACCTTCCCTCATGATGCCTCACCCAGCGCAGGGCTCCTCCTGCCCCCCACGGACGTGTTTAAAACCAGGCCATACGCTGTGTGTAACGCAGGGAGTTCCGTGCAGGCGGTGCGTACGGTCAAGAGGAGCGTGCTGCCCTGTTGGTGGAGAACAAGGGCCCTGCGTCCTGCCCGGCCACGCGGGCTGTCACACCTGTGACACACTGGGCGAACTTCTCTCTGCTTGTTCTCTCATCTCTAGTGTGGGCCTACAGTGGTGCTTCCCTGAGAGTGTCCCTGTGAGGCTCACGACAGCCTCGTTAATGGAGGGTACCTAGTCCGGTGTGTGACACGGGATGAGCATGATAAAAACGCCTGATTTATGGTTTGTCATCATGAACAGAGGACAGGGACATGCCGTCCAGTGCCATCAGTTGCCACTCCTCTAGATCTTACCTTTGTGTATTCATATCACAGATATGATTCTGTCAATAACGAGTCAGCCCTTGCTTTAAGCCGTATATATGGCATTTTTAGTGAGGTTATTTGTATTTTTAGAATGTTCCATATATTTTGGATTCTCAAGACCAGGCTGCGGTGAAGATGACATTTGTCCTCAGGAGTCACCTGCACTCTTTTTAGGTTGTGTTTCCTCAAAACATTTGACATCCCCATTTATTCAAATATATCCTTAAATAATCAGTCCAAAAAGAGGAAAAGAGGGCGCCTGGGTGGCTCAGTGGGTTAAGCCTCTGCCTTCAGCTCAGGTCATGATCACAGGGTCCTGGGATTGAGCCCCAGATAGGGCGCTCTGCTCCGCAGGGAGCCTGTTTCCCCCTCTCTCTGCCTGCCTCTCTGCCTACTTGTGATCTCTGTCTGTCAGATAAATAAATAAAAATCTTTAAAAAAAAAAAAAGGAAAAGAGAAATGTCATTTTAAATACACATTTGCAAAAGTTTGCTTAAAGTTGGGTCCCTTTTTTTAAAGTCCAGTATAATTAACATACAGTGTTATGTTAGCTTCAAGTATATGATATAGGGGTTCAGCAGTCCTGTCCGTGACCCAGTGCTCATCAGAGTAACTGCACTCTTCCCCCATCACCTGTTTATCTCTCCCCTCTAGTAACCGCCAGTTTGTTCTCTATAGTTAAGAGTCTGTTTTGGGCTTGTCTCTTTTTTTCTTTGTTCTTTTGTTTCTTAAATTCCACATATGAGTGAAATCATACAATATTTGTCTTTCTCTGAGTTATTTTACTTAGCATTATGCTCTCTAAGTCCATCCCTGTTGTTGCAAATGGCAAAGTTTCGTTCTTTTTTACAGCTGAGTAACATTCCATTATGTGTATACCACAGCTTTATGCGTTCCTCTATCGATGGACATTTGGGCTGTTTCTGTATCTTGGCTGTTGTAAATAAAGCTGCTTTAAACATAGGGGTCAATATATCTTTTTGAATTAGTGTTTTCACTTTCTCTGGGTGATTACACAATAGCGAAATTGTATGTATGTACGTATGGATGGATGGATAGATGGATGGATCATATGGTAGTTCTATTTTTATTTTTTATTTATTTTCTTAGAAAGAGAGCATGAGATGTGGGGCAAGGAGGGGCAGTGGCAGAGGGAGAATCTTTTTGTTTGTTTGTTTGTTTTTGGTTTTGTGGTGGGCAGCAAAGCAAGGTTTATTGAGCACTAGCAAAGTGATAGTACGAAGCTCCCAAGGAGGGAGAGGACTAAGAGGGTCGCCTGACAGGGAGATTCTTAAACAGGCTCCATATTTAGCCCAGAGTCTGATGCAAGGCTCAAGCTCACAATTTTGAGATCATGACCTGAGTGGAAATCAAGAGTTGGGACACTTAACTGACTGAGCCACCCAGGTGCCCCAGTGGTGATTCTATTTTTCATTTTTTGAGGAAACTCCATACTGTTTTCCACAGTGGCTGTACCAGTTTGCATTCCCACAAGTTGGGTCCCTTTTTAATACAGTCTCTGGCATATTTTAAAAAGCTGCTATTTAATAAAAGCTGAACAAGCAAGAAAACTTCTTCTGTACAATTAATTTGTATTATCCTAACTTCTAGAAGGAAAGCGGTTTTAAGATCCTGATGTGTATGTGTTCTGACATTAGAGAAGAGCGGTTACGCAGGCCTGCAGGTAAACCTGCATTGCGGCCTGAACGCGTTTTGTTCCCTGTAGGTTGGAAACCCACGTGTAGAGCTTACCCTCTCCGAGCTCCAGGATATGGCAGCCAGGCAACAACAGCAAATTGAAAATCAGCAGCAAATGTTGGTTGCCAAGGTGAGTTATAAAAGCAGAGGTGGGAAATTGTTCAAAAAGGGTGTTCTTTAATGGTTGTTTTTGATTGGATTTACTGCATTCATGGGTTCCACCTGTAAGTAGGACCATATTCTGTCTTTGTGATCTCTTCTGTAATGAGAAATGAATATTGTAGCTTCTTAAAGTTGGGAAGGTATCAGAGCAAGACCCTTTACACGCTTATTCACACAACCCAGAATAGGGAAACGGTTGACCTTCGTTCTCCAACTGGTGATGAAATTTGGGTGAAGACACTGGTCAGGGGCCGCTGAGAAAATGACAGTTGGTTATCCAGGCTTCCCCTCATGCCACTCTACATGGACTTTGTTTGGTCTATTATGATACCAAGCAGTTAATGCTTTTTTTTATATACTGAGTTCTGCATTTGTCAGTGAAATGCTATAACCAGATTTGAAATTTTTCTTGTCATGGACTAAAAAAATCAGATCTGTCACTCGTGCATGCTGGAGAATATTCATGTTGTAATGATCTCAAATGTTCTGAAACTGCTATGAAAAACTGCGATACAAAGAGAATATGAAAACATTTCTGCCTGGGTTCATGTTGCTTTCTCAGAGAGAGATTGACCTGAAAGCCAGATGTTCTCACTTATCAGGCGGCCATATGCATTTCCTTGTACTAGCCCCTGCTTTGTGGGCATGTAATAGCATCAGTTGGGCGTGTTTTTAGAAGTTGTCTTACAAGGTTTATTGGATTTACAAGAATTAAAGACAAGAGTTAAGTTAATTGGAAAGTATCTCTTCCCATTAACAAGATTTCTAAGATGAAATGTACATAGTATTATACAATTACATTTTCTAGTTTGCCTTTTTATTTCCTTTTCAAATATTGATCCAAGAGTATTACTAATAAAAAGATTCTTGGGTATTTTCAGCAGTGTGAATTACAAGTTAATGCTAGTACAAGTGTGTGTTTTACATATCAGGTACGTGTTTCCTGACTTTAGAATCCTGTCACTCCTGCATCATCACACTTAGTCCCCTCCTTACTTAGGTCTGTTCTATGCATACGTCTAGGACCATGAGTATTTCATGTCGACTCTTACCCTCAAAGTGTGTCTTCACATGAATCGGGAAAGACTATTGGAGAGTATTACACATAGTCTTATTTTAGGACTGTCCTGTCCTTATTTGACTATAGAGTGCTCCTTTAGTTTTGAAGAAACTATCTCTAAAGAAAACAGGCATTTCTTGACTGTCCATTGTTAACTCAGCAAATCAGAGGGTTATTTCCTTACTAATCACCCTGCCTGTTTTCGATACAAGACCCTATGCTGGTCAGTGCCCATTTCCTTTCAGAGGTAACTGAGGGACCTTGGGAAGCTGCTTTCTGGCAGCAGGAAACGTTAACCCGACAGCAGGAATCGAGGGCTGAACGGGGCTTCCCACCCAGGAAGGAGAGGAAGTCGTGTGAGCGCAGGGGACACGCAGGCTTGACGTTCTCCTGCTGGGAGATGTTCTGAGGAAGCGTCTGTGTTAGCTGAGCGGTGTAGGTCAGCGTGCGTGGTAAACGGCACCTGGAAACATCTGCGCACACTCGGCACCGCTCACCGACATGTGCCCAGCAGTGTCGGTTCTATGTGGGCTGGTGTTTGCAAGGTGGCGCGGGCATCTCTAATACTCATTAAGATGGGTGGTCCCGTGGGAGCCACACAGACCTTTCTCACGTGTGACGGTGATCATGTCTTCAGTTCTCGCAGTTCCCTATTTCCTCTCTTTGCTAGGAGCAGCGTTTACATTTCCTAAAGCAGCAGGAACGCCGCCAGCAGCAGTCTATTTCTGAGAACGAGAAGCTTCAGAAATTGAAAGAACGAGTCGAAGCCCAGGAAAATAAGCTGAAGAAAATTCGTGCCATGAGAGGACAAGTAGACTACAGCAAAATTATGAACGGCAATCTGTGTACGCTTGCATGGCCTTGCTCAGCACCCACACTCGGGCACGGATAAAATGAAAGAGTCCAGCTCCGGACACTTTCACACAGACCTGTGTCCGATCTTGCTATAGGAAGTGCCCCGAAGCTTTGCTCTGTTACCTGCATCTAAAAGGACGGGGTCAGTTAGGTTAAATGGTCTGGGAAGGTACTTGGTGACATTTGTCATTTATTAGCTGCCCTCTGGACTAGGGCTGCAGGGCCACAAGACCGCGCTCATTATGAAGGTCTGTTGTAATTGAACAGTTTAAACTTCATCTGGGTAGTAAGATAAACCATACAAATGCTCACTTTTTTTTTTCTGAGCGTATAGAATTTTTGTTGTTTTCTCAATTCAGTTAGTGCCTACTTTGTGTTATGTTGACAGGCAAGACAGACTTGGATTCCTGCCCTTACGAAGCCTTTGCTCTGTGGGTGCACTGAGATTCCTAAGTGGCCTGGCCAGGCTAGCCTCTGGACTGGCCGTCAGCGCACATGGAGTCGGCCAAGTGGGCAGTCACATCGTGCTCCAGAGGCGTGTTGAAAAGTGTGTTGGATTTTGATATCACAGTTCTCCCCCAAAGGTCTGGCCATAGATGATGGTGGAGCTGAGTCGAATGTATAGACATGAAGACGAAATCCCAGAGCCAAAATGACAGAACGATAGGAAAACAAAGCGTATCAACTAAATGATGTTTTTTATTCTTTATTGCTGGAAAATTGTAGCTGCTGAGATAGAAAGGTTCAGCGCCATGTTCCAGGAGAAGAAGCAGGAAGTGCAGACTGCGATTTTGCGAGTTGATCAGCTCAGTCAGCAGCTGGAAGATTTAAAGAGAGGCAAGCTGAGCGGGCTCCCGGCGTACAGCGGCAAGCTGGCGGGACCGGCCGCGGCAGAACTGAAGAGACTGTGCCAGGAGCTACAGGTGACCTGCTGGGTCTGGGGAGCGGTGACGCTAAACAGCTCTCAGGCTTTCTTCCCAGTGCGGGCAGAAGCCTCAGAAACTGAAAACAAGTGAATGGGTCCTAGGGTAATGGTAGGCACAAACTGTACTCCGTACGAGGAATTCTTACGGCCACTCTGAGAAATAATTCACGTAGCATACAGTTCATCCGTACGCCGGGTACTATGAGGTGGGTTTTAGTGTCTTCACTGGAGCTCGCGTCCACCACCACGATCCACTTTAGAACATCTTCATCATCCCCAAAAGAAGCCACGTGCCTCTTTGCCATCACCGCACTACGCCTACCCCCTAAACAACCATGAATCTTTCTGTCTCTCTGGATTTGCTTATTCTGGAAATTTCATGTGAGCAAACCATGCAGTATGTCATTTTTTGTGACCGGCATCTTTCACCTAGCATGTTTTCAGTACAGAAATTCAATACAGAATTTAATTGGCGTTGTAATGAACTAGGAAAAAAAATTAAGCTTTAGATGATATTCAGGGTTTCTGTGTACACTGTGTTTTGAGGAGATAGGTGTCTCTGTCCCACTCAGCTGGGGCTGCTCTAACAGACCTCACAGCCCAGGGGACTGGAGCACAGACGTTGATTTTTCACAGCCCCAGGGGCTGGGAGTCCCAAGATTGGGTTGCCGGTGAGTCTGCTTCCTGGCTTCTTGCTGTGTGCCCACAGCTTGGTTTCTCTCCTTCTTCTTACGAGGGCGCTAATCCCATCACGGGGCGCCGCCCTCAGGACCTCACCTCAGCCTGATCACCCCAAAGGCCCCACCTCCCATGTGATCACCTGAAATGTTAGAGCAACACACGAATTTTAGGGAGGACACAAGCACTCAGAAGCCAGGAACAAGTTTTGCAGTTATAGTAGCACTTGCCAGAGAAATTATTATATCATTTTATGAAATGAAAATATATAATTACAGGGCACCTGGGTGGCTTAGTGGGTTAAAGCCTCTGCCTTTGGTTCGGGTCGTGATCCCAGGGTGCTGGGATCGAGCCCTGCATTGGGCTCTCTGCTCAGCAGGGAGCCTGCTTCCTCCTCTCTCTCTCTGCCTGCTTCTCTGCCTACTTGTCTGTCAAATAAATAAAATCTTAAAATATATATATATATATATATGTGTGTGTATATATATATATACATATATATATATAATATTACAAAGAGTAAAATTGCTTTTGTTGCTGTTAAGTTCTCTAACATAGATGCAGAGAAATAAAATACAGGAACTTAAGACTTCTTTTACATTTTAAGCAATTGTTAAAAGTGCAGAGCTTTTAAGGACATCTTGGGTGATGAGTGTAGTGAATTTACTCATATGTGCCCATTTGCCAGGCTTTCTGACTGTGACTTCGACCTCACAGTGCACTGCCTCCAGTCTGTTGCACACACGCAAATGCGTGTTCTAGCACACATGTGCACCTGGGAGAGCGTCACAAGACTTAACCTTGTATGTACGGTGCACGCTAATGCCTTCTGTGGTGGTTCTTTTTTTTTTTTTTAATTTTTATTTATTTATTTTTAAAGATTTTATTTACTTGACAGACCACAAGTAGGCAGAGAGGCAGGCAAAGAGAGGGAAGCAGGCTCCCTGCTGAGCAGAGAGCCTGATGTGGGGCTCGATCCCAGGACCCTGAGATTATGACCTGAGCCGAAGGCAGAGGCTTAACCCACTGAGCCCCCCAGGCGCCCCTGTGCTTCATTTTTAAGTGCTGGCTGTGGTCCGCTAGAATGAGAGCCGTGCATCCCAGTGGACAAGCGAGGTTGTCCTTCCTGAATTTCCACCTGCCTCCGCCCAAGGCGCTCATTCAGTGGACTGTGTGCGATGGGGCGCACATCTGTGCTTGGGTCCCTGGAGGACGTGCCCGGGGCGGGGGTGGGGGGTGTCCGTGACACACCATTCCCAGGGTCTCTCGCAGTCATCACAGGCACGAGTTGCTCCAGGTGCTCCCAAGAACGTGTGTGTTTGCAGGAGAGCTCTGTCCTGGCCCCATCCGTGCGGTACCTGTAAACTGCTCAGCACATGGGCGACAGTGCACACACACGTGCATAAATACACACAAGTGCTTGATGTTGCTTTTTCTTCTTTCCTTTTTTTTGCTTTTTCTGGGAATAAGCATATGACTGTTTAATACAAATCATAAAAGTTGTATTTTGCAATTTGCAGATTCGTAACCAGCTTAACCAGGAACAGACTTCAAAGCTCCAGCAGCAGAAGGAACTCTTGAACAAACGCAACATGGAGGTGGCCGTGATGGACAAGCGGATCAGTGAGCTGCGTGAGCGTCTCTATGGGAAGAAAATTCAGGCATGTGAGAAAGAAAATATTTGCGTGAGATGAACTAGGAATGGTTTCGCTGTGCAGGGGCACGTCTTCACTGGGATGGCACTTTGCGGCCCCCGTTTGCCACAGCTGATGAAACATACGTAAAAATGACAGCAGCGAAAGGCTCTCCTTCCAAAGCCGAGTTCGTTTCCTGGCGGGTGGAAGCCAAACCACTGCTGTCTGCAGCCACAGCCAGTGTTCCCCGGCCCCCCGCCCCTGCCCTGTGCAGTTCTGTCCCCTCCATGGAGGGGTTGTGGCTCTGGCATTGCAGCCCCGGCCTGTCCCACTCTGCCACTGTATGCTGTGCCATGTGGGCACACTCCCTGACCTGTGTAGACACGTGTCCTTGCTGTACACTGGCATGTCCTGCCTGCCCCAGCAGTCATCATGTGGAATATTAGAATAACCCTGTGGGTGGGCTTTGTAAACCTTCAAGCAAAGTGCTATGTAAAGGATTAGTGCTTGTTTTTTTAAATTGAAATTCAGTTAATTAACATGTATTTGTTTCAGGGGTATAGATCTGTGATTCTTCAGTCTTATGTAACACCCAGACTCATTACAACACCTCCCCTCCCCAGTGTCCATCACCCAGTTACCTCATCCCTCTACCCCTCCAGCAACCCTCCATCTGTTAAGCAAAATACGTCAATCAGAGAAAGATAGTTATCATAGGATCTCAGTGATTTGTGGAATTTAAGGAACAAGGAGGCAGAGGATCATAGGGGAAGAGAGGAAAAAATGAAAGAAGATGAAACCAGAGAGGGAAACCATAAGACCGCCCCCCTTTTTTTTTAAGATTTTGTTTATTTGACAGAGGGAGACACAGTGAGAGAGGGAACACAAGCAGGAGGAGTGGGAGAGGGAGAAGCAGGCTCCCCGCGGAGCAGGGAGCCTGATGAGGGGCTCCATCCCAGGAGCCCAGGATCATAACCTGAGCCAAAAGCAGCCACTTATGACTGAGCCACCCAGGTGCCCCCATAAGACACTCTTGATCATAGGAAACAAACTGAGGGTTGGTGCTTTTTAAAAACCTTTGTTTGGTATTTCAAAGGTAATGAAGACTCTGAAAAATTCAGACAGTGCAGAAATACTTGAAGGAAAATAAAGTCCCTTCCGCCCTACTCTCATTCTCCAAGGATGATAGTTTTAAGGATTCTAGTCTTTTGCTTGATACAGACAACAAGGTATTTAATTTTTCGTTGAAAATGGAATTGTAGGAATGACGTCATTCACAGTGTTCTGTTCCTCTTTTGTTTTAACTGCAACATGGGTATCTTCCCCGGCCGTAACCTCGCTCCTTTTGCAGCTTCAGTAGAACACGCATGTCCCAAGGCCTGCGGCCCCTTTCCCCAACCCCCTTACCGGGCCGGGTGCCCCCACGTCCTGCCATCACTCTCGGCACTGGAGTGAACACGAGCATCCCGAGAGCGTGTGGGAGAAGGGACCCCTGTGCACCAAGTCTGGCTGGACGTGGCACCTGGCCTGCCTTCCATGGGTGGCATCAGGATCGGAAGGAGCGGGCTGTCAGCTAGCCGGGACATTGCTCCCCACCCACGCTCCATAATCAGTGCTTTCGCAGGTGATAGGTGGCCTCTTGTCAGCCGCTGCTGCACTGAGCAGCTCTCGGGAAGCGAATGTGGGCTCTGGGGCTTAGCCAGGGGCAGGGGCCTGGTGGGGGGCTGGTTAGGAGGTGCCAGAGGAGGGCACTGCCCCTTGTTTGAGTGTCCTGTTCAGTGGTGACAGGCGAAAGCTCTTCTCTGAAATCAGTCTGATCTTGTTTTTAACCGGAGGGTCAGTGGGTAATCCGGGTAACTCTGCTTTCCAAATAATGGTTTTCCTTTTTGTCTTGGTGAGCAGAACGAGGCCGTGGAGAGGAAGCGTGTGTGCTGTCCGCGCCCGCTCACCCGGCACTCTTCAGCCGCGCACTCTGGCGGTCGGGGCTCTGGGGAAACGGAACAGGGGGCACGGGCAGAGGCCCGGTGGGTGCGGAGTCGGAGTGATGGGCTCGCAGAGGGCGCGCACCTGCTACCCGCGGCCTGGACACGTGGGACCACGCGTGCCACTGCTCCCGTCGGTGGGCCGCCGGCAGACCCGGTTCCCTCCTTGTCCCAGCACCTCAGTCTTTGTCTCCCGAGGCCCTTCACCAAAGGCCTCCGTTATGGAGAGCGATGGCTTCCCTCGGAGTCTGTCGCTGCAAATGTCTCAGCTAAGCGTATCCTCACAGCGACCTCCAGACACCTTTGCCCAAACCTCTGGGTATCGTGGCCTCAGCAAGCTGACACATAAAGTTGAGCGTCACAGACGGCTGGGTACACGTTCCTTCTTGCCTCCCAGGGGACACTGCAAGTGATCTTCATGAAGAAGGTGGTGCCGTGGCATACATGCGTCTCCACCCAAAGTTCCTGGGCACCTTTGGGCAGTTGGGAAAGTCCTGGACCCTCTCCCCAAAATGGCGCATGCTCACGTATGCAGAATTTTGCAATCATAAGAGGTTATGGATCTCTCACAGCCTATCTGGGGGCCCCTGAGGTGTCAGTGACTCTCCAGTCCCTGTTACGGACCCCCATGTTGTCAGCATCACGTGATCACGGTCATTGACTGTAGCGCCATGTCCTTGCTGAGAATGGCAGAATCGTCTTCGGGGCTGGCCAAAGCCTTGCCTGGTGCCAGGCCCAGTCATTGTGCCCAGCATGGCTTGTTCAGTCCTTAGAAGAAGCCATATCTCGACTTTACAGACAGGGGCACAGAGGGTTAGGCCAAGTCATCACACTGGCCCAGGGCAGCACAGTGAGTGGCAAAGCAGGATTTGAAGGCAGCTCAGAGCCCAGGCTGTGACCGACGCCTCTGCCCACCTAGGGGACAGAGAGTATCTCCCAGTAGAGAGGGCTCCGTGGAGATGTCCTGGGAAGCCGTGCTGTCCCGCCGTCAGCTGCTGTCTCTCCTAGCGCACAGACGGTGGGGGGCTCAGAGAGGATCGCTCGTATGGGACTGGGGGGTGTGGCCCTCCTTTCAGCGCTTGCCCGTTCTAGATACCGGTGGCTCAGATGATGGCGCTTCCTCAGTTGGGCACGTGATTTAGTGAGTGGTTCACATGAGAGCAAACGGTCCCACTAGGCTTGTGATTTCTTTTTATTTAGAACCTTAACTCTTGTTTCTTCCCATTCTGCAGCTGAGCCGGGTGAATGGCACGTCGTCCCCACAGTCGCCGCTGAGCACACCTGGCAGGGTGGCTGCGGTGGGGCCTTACATCCAGGTGCCCAGCGCCGGCAGCTACTCTGTCCCCGGGGACCCCATAAAGCCCCAGTCTCTCACCATTGCCTCGAGCGCTGCCCACGGAAGATCCAAATCCGGTGAGTGGCCTGCGTCCTCGTGTTGGGGGAGAGCCCTGGAGGTCAGCGGCCTCAGAGGAGTCCCCACAGCGCACCCCGGGCTCCGCCCACACTCTGTCTCCCCCAGGGCACTTTGTCTTCTGGCCGGTTGGGGCGCTGTGTGCCACCCTGGTAATAATATGACCCTAAACAGCCAAACGTCTTTACTCTGTGGCTTTTCAAAACACGAATTACTTAAGACCGTATCCTTTTGCACCACGGGCAGACCTGCTGCTCCCCCGGCAGAGGGGCAGCCTGTCCGTAATCAGTGCACAGGGGCTGCCCTTGCTTTCCCCGCTCAGCACTGTCGTAAGCAATGCAGAAGCCGACAGACCGTCGCTTTGGCCCTCTGCGTGACCGGCACTGGCAGGGTGCTAGTGTAGCTCTCCTGCTGGGCTGCTTCCCGGCCAAGGGCAGGTCAGGCTCCCCGGCGAGAGTCTGCTCTCCTTTCTCAGAAGAAGGCGGCTCTTGTTCGCAGGGAGACTGTCTTGCTGCTGGGCTGCGGCCTTTCCCAGCAGCGCACGGGATCATGGGGCGCAGTCCCGACAGGACGGCGCTCCTTCGCTCGGGACGCCAGTCCTGGGCTATGCGGGGGCTGACGTCGGTACATCTGTGCAGTCTTCAGTGTGCCCGTGGCCTCCTGGCTGGCACCTGGTCTCAGCAGCAGCAGCTCTCCCACGCTGGCTGGGGGCCACAGGGCTGGTTCTGACCCAGGCAGGAGGGGCCGCACACCCCAGCTCGGCTCTGTCCGGGGCCATGTCTCGGTGGCCACTCGGAGTGCCTGGTCCGTGCGAAGCGCTAGTGGCGGCTTTCCCGGGGAGGCTGTGATTTGGAGTTTGGACCACTCCGTGGTGGGAGTGGAGGGCCGTCTGTTTTTGACGGTGGCTAGTGAGCACAGCTGGCTCTTTCTCTGCTGACTCCCCTCTGAACACTTCCCGAGCCGAGGATACCTCCCGATCCCCGCTCTTTGGAGGGCTGTGCCGGGCCACCTCACGGGGGCTGCTGGGAGGAGACGCCCTTACGAAACCTGGAGAACGAGTCCCTCGGAAGTTTAGCCACAGCCCAGGTCCTTCCGCTGCCGTGCAGGGTGACCGGACGCAAGCTGTGCCCCCCACGACTGGGGAAGGTCAGGCCAGGCGCGGAGCTGGGAGGAGCGGTCTCCCCACGGGGACTCGGACTCACACTGTCGACTGTCCTTGTGGTTCCGTGTCACACAGATGGCCACGGGAAGCCCAAAGTGACCAGCTTGTGGACAGTATCAGACCTCGACGTCGGGCCCGATTGCAGCTACTCAGGGCGCTCTGCAGACCCATTTGCAAACCGTACGTCGGCTGGCCAGCCCGGTGGGGGCTCCGGCCTCTCTGATGCCGCTAACCCCGCAATCATTTGTTTTCCAAACTGATGAAGGTCTGCTCGTCCCATCTAGATTTGGGGGAAATTCCGCACTTCCTTCCACAGGCAGGTGTGAGGTTTGGGCTGGGCCTCACACGCCGGCCCCTCCTCAGCACTGGTTCGTCAGATGCCAGCACAGCAAGACGCTGTCAGTTTGGTTTGGAAGAAATTAAGATGATTTCCTGAGTTCATTAAAGACTGGATTTGGCTCCTACACAAGAACCTCCTGTCATGCTTGAAGGGAAGTGTCCCTTTATAATCCTTTATAAGGAAAACAAAATTTACAGAAAAACAGGAAGGAAAGAAGGAAAAACAGTTTTCCTTTTGCATCCCTGCCTCATCCTGAAGAAGGAAATTCCCAGTTCCATCCACAGTCCCTCTGTGGTTGATTTCCGTAAAGCCTCCCATTGCTGTGGATTTCAGAAACAGCCGGCTGGCCACTCTTCTTGAGACCCCGGGGCTGGCCCCCCCTGCTCCTGAGTCTGCTGGGGCGCTGTTGGTTTCCCTATCAGCCCAGCGTGGCCACTGCTCAGTGTCCTTGGTGACCCGTGTGCTTCTGGCCCCCATATCCCCCATTTCTAAAGTACATGACATGAAGGGGCACGTGCTTCTTGCCTGGAAGAGGCTGACCGGTCACGCAGAGCAAGGGGGTGGTTTGGACCGGGGCCTTGGAATGCCTCACCAGCACCCTGGCAGCCTGGTCGGAACTTTCTGGATCCTGCTGCCTGGAGCCACAGGAGGGCACCCCTGACTGGGTGCCACAGGGCACCCCGAGGCTCTATCCCCCTCCCTGCACAGGAGCCACTGTCCGTACCTGCAGGCAGAGTGCACGGGAGCGTCTGCTCCTGTCTCACGAGTCGCAGCTCTTCTCGCAGCACTGGTGTGGGGATGAGTGATCTCCCGCTGCTTCTGCCTTGTCCCCGCCTGCTCGTGCTGGTGCGTGGGGTGAGGGAAGAGGTGCTGTTCCTGTTAGAAGGGCCCAAAACGGTCCCTTCTGACTTCGGTCTGTGCCATGTGGCTGACAGCTGGGGTCTCTCCCACTTCGGTCCAGTCCCACACCGCTGCCTGCCCTGGAGACGAATGGGAGCCCGAGTCAGAAGCTATAACCTGACCCCTGCAGATAATGTCACTTCTTTATGTCACTGTGACTGCTAGGAGGGATTGCTTCTGCTGCCTTTCTCAGTTTGGAAAATGCTTTGTTTAAGGGGAAAAAAAAACAACTTTTCAGTGGCTTTCCTAAAACATGGGTTCCGCTAGCTTTCCAATCACTGCAATGAAATGATAGCTTGCTGCTCTAATCAGTGGGAACTTGTACCGGCTTCTTGTGATCTTGAATTATTCTAACAGATTAAAGTCAAATTTTTCTTTTACCATGCATGTGGTTCAGGTCAAACCTGTTACAAAGTCAAAAGACAAAATTTTTCAGTTGCTGTATGTAATTGGTTTTATAAGTCAAGTTGGAAAAGGAAGTGGTGATGCTTACTTACTGGTGTCGATGTAGCAGATGGGACCTGTATTTAGATAGGGGCCTAGAAGGTTTCCACGGTCCTCTGGCCCCTCGCTGGCGTCGCAGCAGCCCCGTCCGTGCACAGCCATCGAGTCTCTGTGCACGTGACAGCAATGCTGGCCAGCACACGCCACCCTCGGGCTTGCCGAGTGCCCGCCCGTGTGCAGGGAGGGGTGCTCTGCCACCTGGCTCGTGGAACCCCCGGCCCGTGCGGCTCCCAGGTGATCTTTGCTTCTGGCAAGGGGTTATTCCTGGATTAGTTCAGCTGATCCCAGGAAGAGTCGTACTCACATGCTGTGTTCCCTTCAAGCCAATGATGGAAACTGGCCAGCACTGAAGCAAAACTCCAGCTCTTTGGCAAAGCCCACGCAGGTTGCCGGTGCGGACTGGAAGGACTCGAGCGCGGAGGGCGCCCTCAAGCAGGGGGCCGTTTCCAGCCAGCCGGCGCCCTTGTCAACTTTAGGAGCCACGGAGAAGCCGGTAAGCTGTTCGTCTTTATCACAAAACACCAGTAAGGTCCTCGCTGTGTCCCTGTTCGGCCTTCGTCTTCACGTAAGGGGTGAGGGGTTTCGTGAGGCAAATTAATCCTTGTCTAAACACGAACCATCTGAGGAGGTTCGGGGAGCCCGAGGCCCTGCGCGGCGTGCGGTGTGCGTGCTTGTGTCGGAGCGCCTCCGGCCTGCCACCTCGGAGTCCTGCGGCGTGGCGGTGCCCGGTCACATGCTGACTGGAAGGATTACAAGTCCTACTTCTTTGCATCCTCTTGTGACTGTGGATAGAAATATGCTTAACTTTTCAAAGGGTGACTTTGTTTTTCTTCTTAACATCTAAATTTAGGGCATGGAGATGGGTAAAGTGCCACCCCCCATCCCCGGTGTCGGCAAGCAGCCGCCTCCGAGCTATGGGACGTACCCAAGTCCTGCGCCTGTGGGCCCAGGCTCCACGAACTCGCTGGAGAGGAGGAAGGAAGGCAGCTTGCCCAGGCCTAGCGCCGGCCTGCCCAGTCGGCAGAAACCCGGCCCGCTGCCCCCTGCAGTCAGCGGCCCCCCGCCGGGCTCCTCACAGCAGATCCAGCAGAGGATTTCTGTGCCGCCAAGTCCCACGTACCCGCCGGTGGGGCCGCCCGCCTTTCCAGCTGGAGACAGCAAACCTGACCTCCCACTGACGGTGGCTATTAGGCCCTTTCTGGCTGATAAAGGGTCAAGACCACAGTCCCCCAGGAAAGGACCCCAGACAGTGAATTCAAGTTCCATATACTCCATGTACCTCCAGCAAGCCACACCTCCTAAGAATTACCAGCCAGCAGCGCACAGCACCTTAAACAAGTCTGTGAAAGCAGGTACGGTGGGTTCGTACTCTTGTCTTGGGGCCAACAAGTTAGACTTAAAATGCCAACCCATAGCCTTACATGTGGGCCACGCACTATTTAGGGTTTAAGCTTGGGTTCTTGCGTACAGTGTGGCCTTAGATGCCCGTGTGGGATTGGGGAGGAGGATGGCATGCGCCGGGCCGCTTTGCGGCGAGCTCACGTCGGAAGCTCTCCCTTCCTCTCGAAGCACCTGCTGTACTTGGGAAGCCCGGCTCCCAGAAATGCCTCGTTTTCTCCTGCTTTGTGGAAACGTGTGCTTTCCAGGGCCTGGTGGGGGCTCTGCCCGGATGTGGTCCTCCTGGCCACCTGGCAGAGGCTGAGCCAAGCCCCTGGACACGAGGCAAGGGTGTGTCTGCTGCTGGGGGAGCCCTACTGTACAGCCCGCGGGGGAGAAGAGCCCGGCTGTGGTGAGGGGCAGAGAACAGAGCCTGGTCTCTCCCATCCTAGGGCAGGTGGGGACTGTGACCTGCACAGCAGGGTCTTATGAGTCACAGCTGGGCTCGGACCTCGTCACACGTTCTTGGGCGTGGGCCGCAGCTTCCAGACAACTGGGAGTGCCCGGCTACCTGAGCCCCCGGGGAAGCTCACTGTGCGGAAGCTCTGCTGTAGCGGGGCTCTGGCTCCCTTCTCGACCGCTCCTCTGCTGGCAGGCAGAGCCTTCCTGTGTGCCACGGCACGAGACCACCTGAGGGGCAGATGATGTTCGGGGATGGTGTCTTCCTCCTGGCCAGGAAACAAGGAGGGTTGGTTTGGAGTGGGGAGGCCGGGTCTGCAACCACTTTTTCTTTTCGTCTGAAAAAACGCAGAGTCTGGAAGCTCAACTATAGAAACCAGTGAGGGGGACGGTCTCCCTTCCAGAAGGAGTCAGCAGGGGGAGGGGGCTGTGTGATCAGAGGGTTCCTGGGGGATTTACGATGGGCCACAGCCGCACCACGGCCCTGCAGTCACAGGGGCTTTGTGGCCCCCGCCCTCCGTGTCTCCTCCAGTGTATGGCAAACCCGTGCTGCCCTCCGGCTCGACGTCCCCGTCTCCGTTGCCGTTTCTCCACGGGTCGTTGGCCACAAGCACGTCGCAGTCCCAACCACCTTCAGAAGGCGCTGAGAAAGAACCCGAGCAGGACAGCCCCGCGCCCCCCGGAGACGGCAGCACGGGCACTGGCGCCGTGGAGAGCCTGCCGCGGCCGCTCAGCCCCACCAAGCTCACCCCCATCGTGCACTCGCCGCTGCGCTACCAGAGCGACGCCGACCTGGAGGCCCTGCGCCGGAAGCTGGCCAACGCGCCGCGGCCCCTGAAGAAGCGCAGCTCCATCACCGAGCCTGAGGGCCCCGGCGGGCCCAACATCCAGAAGCTGCTGTACCAGCGCTTCAACACCCTGGCGGGGGGCATGGAGGGCACCCCTTTCTACCAGCCCAGCCCCTCGCAGGACTTCATGGGCACGCTGGCCGACGTGGACAATGGAAACACCACCAATGGGAACCTGGGAGAGGCCAGCCCTGCCCAGCCCACAGCCCCGGCCCTCGCTGAGCCAGCCCCGTCTTCGGACGCCAATGACAACGAGCTCCTTTCCCCTGAACCGGGGGGCCTCATCTGTCCCCAGAGCACCCGCCAGACGACCGAACCTGCTGAAGATGACAACAACAACGTGGCCACGGCCCCACCCACGGAGCAGGTCCCTAGCCCTGGGGCCGAGGCCCCCTCGCCGGGGGAGGACCAAGTCCCCCCAGCACTGCCCCCCGCCATGCCCCCACCAGGAGCCTCTACGGTGGGTGTCGTCCCAGGCCAGGGCCACGGCTTCCTAGTCAGCTTGCCTGTGTTTGTGGAACACCTGCCTGTGTTAGCCGTAGCGCTGGGGGCGGTGGGGCTTGCCAGACCCTCATGCCTTCCCTCTCTGCGGCCAAGAGCGGGGATGGTTCAGCAGTACACAGGTGGGGCTCTGAAGAAGCACACAGGGTGGCGGGGCTCTCCCTAGAGGACCCAGATTTCCCCCAGGACAGGAAGCTGCTGCTGGAATTTGAAGGGCAGGCCAGGAGAAGAACCTTCTAGACAGGCTCCCTGGTGGGAGGTCAGTGTTGGGGCAGAGAGCGGGGAGTGGGAGTCTGCTGTATCGGGAGGAATGAGCTGCTGACCCCCGAGCATGGCTGTCACCCACCTCACTTGCCAGCACGGCTCCTCTGAGGAGCCCGGCCCCGGCCCCTGAGCCACTCTGCCCCGGAGCGCTGGGCTGGGCCCCGGGAGTGAGCGCTCCTCTCAATGCCAGGGGCGGCTTGGCGCCACCGGGTGCAGGCGCTGGCCCTGCCTTCCGTCCCTGTCCCTCCTTCCCACCGGGGCTGGGCGCCTTGGCGCGTGACTTTTAAATCAAAAGTGTGCTTCCTTCCCAGCAGAGCAGGCGGACCAACCTGAAGAAACCAAACTCGGAGCGGACGGGGCATGGGCTGAGGGTCCGGTTCAATCCGCTGGCGCTGCTCCTTGATGCTTCTCTGGAAGGGGAGTTCGACCTGGTGCAGAGGATCATCTATGAGGTGAGCTGGGCCGCAGCCACAGGCCGGGCTGCCCCGTGTGCTGGGACGTGGGGCTCACAGCGCCCCATGTCCACAGGTGGAGGACCCCAGCAAGCCCAACGACGAAGGGATCACGCCCCTGCACAACGCCGTCTGCGCCGGCCACCACCACATCGTCAAGTTCCTCCTGGACTTCGGGGTCAACGTGAACGCCGCTGACAGCGATGGCTGGTGAGCGTCCCCAGGGCGCTCGGGCTGCACTCGGGCCCCGGGGAGGCGCGGGGGCAGGAAGGGGCCGGCCACCGCCCACCCGGCTGCCCTCCGGGTCCCCGGGTAAGAGGCTGTCCTCTCGCCGAGCTCTGGACAGAGCGGATCGTGGACGGCGCGGGCTGCGCCTTGGGCAGGTCGTGACTCTGCGGCTGGTTTCAGGCGGTCAGACGCCCGGGCGGAAAGGAAGTGCCGAGGCCCGCTCCAGTTGCACATTCGCGTGGCGGCTTGCAGGGCCCTCCTGCCGCAGGGCCGGCCCCCGGTCTCCTGTGGATTTGGTTGGGAACGTCAGGCACCTGTCTGGGCGGTTGGAACACCTGGGTCTTGTACATTGTGGCGAAATACAGCTGACGGCTTTGCGCCGCCGCCCCTCGAGGGCACGGGCAGCCGTGCGCCGCGCGTTCCCGCTGCCCTGGGGCACGTCGTGGGCTGCTCTGCAGGCCTCGGCGCCCGGCCTGTTGGGCGGCACACGTGCGGTCTGGGATGTGGGGACTGGAGGCCGCCGGCCAGCTCACCCGCGCTCTGTTCCAGGACGCCGCTGCACTGCGCAGCCTCTTGCAACAGCGTCCACCTCTGCAAACAGCTGGTGGAGAGCGGCGCCGCCATCTTCGCCTCCACCATCAGCGACATCGAAACGGCCGCGGACAAGTGTGAGGAGATGGAGGAAGGCTACATCCAGTGCTCCCAGTTCCTGTATGGTACGTAGGGGCGCTGCGCTGGCGGCCCCCCCACCCCTGTCACCAGTCTCGTCAGAATGGAGGTCACGCTGTTCCTTAGGCCCATTCCTAAAAACCTCTTTGAAAACCCATGTTGTCAGGAAGATTCTCGCCAAATCGCTAAAGACAAAGAAGCACTTGCTTCTGGGTCGACGGGCCCCGGGCGGAGCCGCCGCTAGGCGTGGGGGGCTGGGCAGCAGCCGTCTGTCCGCTTCTGGGGAGCACCAGGACTCCAGGGTGGGAGCCCCTGTCTGCATCCTGTGGTGACGGGCAACGACGAGTGTGCCGCTTGAGGAGCAAGCCTCGTTCTGGCGTAAGCCACTTGAGCAGGGGGTCAGACTTCGGGATCGGAGCAGCCCTCTGCCCTGGGGTTAAACACCTGCGGGTCGTCTCCTCCACACCTAACTCGAGAACCTTCGGGCCTAGCCCTACACTTGGCCCTGGGGACACCGTGACAAAGGGAAGTGGGCCCCAGGCTCCCGAGGCCCCACTCGCAGTAATAGCCATGCGAGGAGAAGGACGGCAGCAGGTGGCGGGGCCGTCAGCCCCCAGCTCTTCTCAGGGACCCTGCAGTCACTCCAGGCAGGAGCCGGCTTGGTGGCCGTGGTGTGGCGGCAGGGAGTGGCGGCCGCCACTGTGGGGGCTCCCCATACCCAGGGGCAGTCAGGCAACGGCTTAGTTGACTTTTGGGAAATTGTCCCCAGTGGGAGTTGTAAGGATGACCTTAGGGAGCCCCTCGTCCTTTGCCTCAGGCCCCAGCACTCCAGGAGCCGGACTCCTGCCATGCAGAGACAGGGTGGGGAGAGCATGGGGGGCCCTGCCACCCCCTGACCACTTGCTTGCTCTCTCATCCCAGGGGTGCAGGAGAAGCTAGGCGTGATGAACAAAGGAGTGGTGTATGCCCTGTGGGGCTACGAGGCCCAGAACAGCGATGAGCTGTCCTTCCACGAGGGGGACGCCATCACCATCTTGCGGCGCAAAGACGAGAGCGAGACGGAGTGGTGGTGGGCTCGCCTCGGGGACCGGGAGGGCTACGTGCCCAAGAACCTGCTGGGGGTGAGCACTGTGCGCTCGCTGCTCTGGGGTCGGCCTGGGCAGCCTGGGGGTCCTGTCCCCTTTTTCCCGTCTGGGGTTCCATGTGGGGGCAGATCCTGTGGGGAGAGATGGCCATTTGCCACCCTCAGTGTCATCTGTGTTAGTGGACGAGTTTGCAGCGGCGGCAGGAGGCTCTGGCCGGTGGGGACACCACACCATAGGGGCCGCAGGGGTGGGTGCTGTGGAGCCACAAGCGCCCTGACACAGGAGCTTTGGCGAGCAGCCCCCCCCGCCGCCCCGTCACAACTGTCTGCAGTCCTGACAGGTCTCTGGGTGGGAGCGTCCCCGGGTGGGGAGCGGGCCAGCTGCTCCCTCTGTGGCGTTGGTAACTGTCCTCCACCCCGCGACAGAGCAGGTGCGCCTGCGCTCGGCCCACATGCCTAGCTAGGCGGGAGGGTGCGCCTTTCCTGGTGCCAAAGTGCACCGGGGAGCCTTCCAGCCAGCAGCGCGGGTTCTCGATGGTACCCGGTGCTGGGAGAGGCTGCCCTTGGCGGGGGCACAGCTTATAAAGGGAGTCGGGACCTGGGGTGGCAGGTGGCCTGACAGGGCGGCTGGCCGTGCGGCCCTCTGGGCGCCCCTTCCTGCTCAGTGGGACCATGGCCTTGTCCTGACTGTCCCCATTGATTCCCAGTTGTATCCGCGGATCAAACCCCGACAGCGCACGCTGGCCTGAACTTGCCATTGGAGCACTGCCCGGGCTCGCCAGCCGAGGGGCCGCCAGAGAGGTCGCTCCGCCGTTTCTCCAGGAAAGCTGAAGCCGGACACGGTTGATAATGGTGCTCACTTTAGCAGACGGCGTCCGCGATGTGAAATTCCCGCAGCTTCTGGGTGAGGCCCTGTCTTCAGTTTGCCCTTAACTGGGAGAGGTACTTTTGCCTCCAAGAAGACTGAATTTTGCCAATTACTGTAAATCCAAATAAATATCCAGCTTTCTAAACAACTGTCCCTTTTGCCAATAAGCAGCCCTATAATTTATCCCTGGCTGATTGCCAATGAAGATGAACCCTCTTACTGACTTGGCGCCAAGACCGTCCCTCGTTCCCAGTGTCACCCCCACCCCAACACTGAAAACTTGCACCCACAGTGAGGTGTGCCCTCTGCTCGAGCCTGCCCTCCTGTCACCGGAAGTCCTAGCAACCCCACCACCCTTGCCACCCTCACCACGCACATCTCTTCCTTCCCCTACCAAAGGAGCCCCTGTATGGAAACTTGTCAGTGGTGGTGCTTGATGCGTGTGTCCCGGGCATTGCTGTCAGTCACCCTCATGCAGGCCGATGGTGCTGGACCGGGCCACCACGGCCCAGGTGCCAGAGCCCTTAATACCAAGCGGCAAACAGGAGCCCCCAGATGGCACTGTCCCCTCCTCTGCTCACAGCACTGCCTTCCCTGCAGCAGCCCACCCACGGCCGGGGTGGGGCACACGTGGGGGGGGGGGGGGCTGCACAGCAGGGAGGCAGCGTGGGCCTGCTGTGATGTGATAACCTTGGCCCAGTCCAGACTCCAGGTGGAACTGTACGCACAGACTTTTCTATACCAAAAGTATTTTTTGACTAGACCATTCGAAACTACCAGAATAATATCGGAAATGTTTTTTTCTCATTAAAAGCCAGGCCCTTAGGCTTTATTTTCCATGTATGAGTCCTGTGTATAATTTAACTGTAGAGCCGCTGCTGTAGCCAGGCCCCCTCAAGCACGGACTGTGTGCCGGGCCGCCAACCCCCTACCAGGAGCCCCTCCTCGCCGCGAGCTCCCCGCCGCGGCCGCCCTGTAACGACGCCCAATAAAGCCTGTCTCTCCCCCGCGGCTGCGAGTCTTGTGTTTGGGAGCCCGACGGGGCGGCAGCGGGAAAGCGCGGGGGCTTGGGGACATGGTGAGGCGAGACCCGATCCGTATTTTCAAAATAGGTTTTAATCATAAGCTTTATATACAAATTGTTGTACAATTACTTTAATAAAGTGAAACGGTAAGTGAAAAGTACAAAAAGCAAAGCTGGCTCTTCCCCCTCAGTGTGTATCAAAGGTTTGCTCGTAGCCCAGGTTAGTGATTCGGGAAGCGAGCGGTCTACGATCGGGCTCGGGCCACCCAGAAAGCAGCGTGTGTCCTCGTGCTGCCAGGGACCACGGAGGGACCAGAACCTTCTAGTAAACTTGGGCACCCATAAAAACGTGGCTTAAGGTATGCTAAAAATAGTTGGCAGTAGTGTGACTCCACCTCTCCCACCTCCCGGTAAGTATCGACAAGGTGACGAACTCTAAAGCGTGAGGCCGTTCAGGGCATCAGTAAACTGTGAACCTGCACTGGCTAAGCAAGCGCTCGCTTCCCCGACACTCGGGCTGCGCTTCCCAGCCCGTGGCGGGTTAGTTGCCTGTGCGTGCGGAGAGCAGGCCCCGCGGTTCCACGCCGACGGGCCATCCTGCGCGGTTACTGGTCCCGTGACTCGTACAGGAGCTTGGTGGCCTAGAACGGGGCCAGAGAAGCGTGCTTGGGCCTGTGCCTGGTTGGAGCTGGTGTGGGCACCCACTCCGCGGCTGGCAGGGCCGCCTCGGGGAAAGGTGGGCCCACGCTCGAAGCAGAACGGTCCAGCCCCCCCACCCCACCCCGTGCGCCCCTGCCTGCCTCGGCCCAAGTACCTTGTGCATGGCCGCCAGCCACGCTGTCGACTGCCTTCGGCTGGCGCTGGCGTCCTCCCCGGCCGTCAGCTTCAGCTGGGTCGTGCCCTCTGCCCCTGGTGCTGCATACTGCAGGGACATGCCTGTGGCCCGTACGTTGCCTCCTGGAAAAGGGAGACAAAGTAAGAAGGCCCACGGGGACCCCAACCACCCAGGATTCCCCACCCAGGATTCCACCCGGCCTCGCGCGCCTGCCTCCCACCCCTCACGCTGGCGCCGGAGGCCCTCTGGTGGACCACCCTGGATTCACAGGACGGGCAAGAAATCTCCCGGAGTGGCCCTCCAGGGCCCCGGACGCATCACACCCCGTCCCTGAGCCCAGTGAACCGCGACTGCGACAGCCAGTCCCACGTGGGGACTCCTGCGGGTGGGAAGCCCCCACAACTGGCTGGCTCCGTGCGCGTGCCAGGCCCGCACGGCCGTGGCACACCGGCCATAGCAAGGCCCAGAGGAGTGCCGACACCCCCCGCGTGCGCGAGCGCCTGCGAAGATGCCCTGGCGGGGAGCAGCCCCCACAGGCCAGGCCGGCAGCTCGAGGACCCGCCACTCACGAACAGGCCAGCGCGCTCAGTCGCGGCTAGTCAGAGAAGCCCGCGCACGCCGAGCCTCACGGCGAAGTCTACCTACGGCTTTTCGACTTTGCGATGCGGGATGAGGATTCCGTTCTGAGCAGGAGTCCGGCCACGGAAGAGTCCTTCCGCCAGACACGGATCTCGGGGTCCGACCTGAGCGCCTGCCTTTCCCCCAGGCCTGTGGACTGGGGATGGCACTGGACGGCTGAGGGGGCCTGGCCACCAGACGATGGCAACGGTCAAGCACTGTCCCGGCCACCTCAGCTAACCTCTCACGAGCCCCGTTCCGTCTGCGTGTCGCCAGGCCAGTCCCTGACCGGGCCCCTATGGGAGTGCCCACTTCTCTGGGAGGGGGGCACCAACCATGCTCTGGCTTTACGTGGCACACGGCCCCAGCTGTTTCCCGTCGCCTCTGGCTGCTCCTGCCCTTTGTGAGAATCCGCGGAGCTGGCAAAGCCGAGAACGGCCACCGCCCAGCAGCTCCTCGGACTGCCGCCCGCTGGGAATTGTGCCGCCCCTGCCACCCACCCCGGGGGAAGACCGCGTTCTCGGCTTTTAAAAAACTTCCGGCAGGGAGCCTGCGTTCTCCTCTCTCTGCCTGCTGGGGATCTCTCTGTCAAGGAAATAAAGTCTTTTAAAAAAAAACAAAAAAACTTCCAACAGAGCGGGGCTCACTGCACCTGCAAAACTGCCAGAAGGGGGCATGCGGCCCCGGAAAGAAGACGGGGCTTCAGCAGGCCACTAGGGGGCGGCCTTCTCCCTGGCCTGGGCGGGGCTCCCTAGCAGGAGGCAGGCAGAGGGGCGCCCGAGCTGCCCCCCAGCTTCTCCACGCCCTGCCCTTTGTACCTGTGTGTCTGCGACTCCCACCTGCCCCAGGCAGCCGGCGTGGTGCTGGCGTCACACCCTGTGCACGGGGCAGAGGCGGGGAACACTGCCCACTCGGGGGCTCACACGGAGGCGCAGAGCAGGCCAGAAGGCACAGGAGTGTCCAGGAGGGAGGCCGCCCCCAGCGTCCCGCCGCCCCGGACGTGGCCAGCTCGGGGACGCGCGGCTGCGAAATACTGGGGAAAGCTGCGCCCTCGGGATTGTGAAACGGAGCAAACGAACTACATTCCTGCCAGTGGGATACTTCGTTGGCGCGGCGCACACCCACGTCTGGGCCGACCCCTTTCAAGTCAACTGGAACGAGCCCCGCATCGGGCTCCTTGCTGGGCAGGGGCCTGCTCCTCCCTCGCCCTCTGCCCCTCCCCCGCGCTCGCTCTCCAACGAGATCTTATTTCGGAAGCGGCGCGGATCCACACACGCAGAACCGCGGGCACACATGAAAGAGCCCGGGGCGCGATCCCGGAGCTGCGGGGGAGAGTGGCGCGCGGCTGACCTTCAGAGACGGGCTGGCTCCCCAGGAGGCTGGTGTAAGCGAGAGAGTCTTTCTCTACGTCAAGAAGGTAGGCAGGCAGGAGAGAGAACGAGCGCCCGTCAGAAAACAGAGCGAGAGGGAGTCAGTCGCGTGGGCGCTCTGCACGCTGCACGCCGGGCGCGGACTCTCCCACGGAAAGCCGCTACCGAAGCGCAGAGCGAGATGGAAAGATCCGGACGGGCCGAAAGGCTCTGGAAGCTCCCCAGGGAAACGTGAGGGGATCTCACTTCACGGACACCTGACAGGAGCAGAAGCCCCGGTTCCCAACGAGCCACCGCTCAGGGCTTCTGAGCACGAGGGTGACGCCCGGGGCGCCGGGAGCCTCAGCCTTGGCGCGAGGCCAACAGCAACGGGGCGCGTCCGGGCAGCTCCGGCTTCATTGCCGGACACATGCAGCCCCGTTTACCTGGCAGGTTCCTGAAGACACTAAACACAAGCCCAGGAGGACACCGGGCGGGCCTCCCCGGGACCCGCAGCCGGGCCGAGCACGAGGCCCCGAGACCCGGTCCCGCACACCGCGCCGCCCTCCCCGCCCGTGCGGCGCTCACCTCCGGCCGGGAAGCCTTCCGTGAGGACCTGCACCGCCGAGATGCGCGCGATTTCAATCTCGTGGCGGCTGTCCCCTTCCAGAAGCAAGTACCTAGGGAGCAGAGCGACCACAGCACATCAGCCGGGGTCACGGCGATAGTGCCATCCCTGCCGAGCGGTGCCCTGCCTCTTACCTCTGGTTGGCGGACAGACGGCAAACCATCGTCTCTGGTTTCTCGGTGTCTCCCAGGGTCACGAGGAAGGTGGCTCCTGGGAGCAGAAGAACAAACGTGAGAGCACGGCGGCTCCTCTCACGCCTCGCCCTCCCTGGCCCGGCCAGGCTGCTCCTGGGGACGTGCGCCCCCAGGCAAGACCACAGGGGGGGCTGCGCCCGCAGGTCCCCCCGCCCCCCGAGCTGGGGCAGCAGGGCCGCGACGGAGGACGAGCAGGGGCGCGGCTATTGGGAGAGGCTCTGTGCACCCGAAAGCTCTGAGGAACCGTCCGTCCTTTCCCAGAAGGCCCCAGAGGCTCCACTCCCAGGCCAGGCCCCGGCTCCGGCGGCAGGGGGCAGGGGCGGAGGGCCGGGGGAGGCGGGAGGAGGCCCGCAGGCCTCGGCTTACCGCTCAGGAGCACCTTGAGCTGCTTGTCATAGAACTCGGCCTCCTTGTGGGACACGAGGGCGCACTCGGCACACTGCCGCACGGGGTCCACGAAGCACATGCGTCGCAGCGGCACCTTCTGGCCACAGCAC